AGTATTTTTTTCTTTTATCGTTATATAACAGTTATAGCTATTTTTTCGTCAGATGTTTAGTTTGATTTTTATAGTCTAACTAATATTTTGGTCATAATGGTTTGCTAATTTGTTTATTATTTACTTTATAAACTTTGGGTTCAGTGATTTTGTACACCTGTGTATATATATATATATATATATATATATATATATATATATATATATATATATATAATAATAATAATAATAATAATAATAATAATGGACTCTCCCCCGTCGGTTTCGACGTATGAGGATCTGCTTCCTTATTGATTCATTTATTAAAGTTTATGCGCTAATCTTAAGTGGCATTTAAGACCCGCTAGTGATTTGCAAAAGAGGTCGCATATGGAGCAAGTGTGAGGATTGTGAGATGAGATCACTACCAGGTTGGTTGACCCTTTAGATCTTGCTCTCGTTTCTTGAAGATGATTTAGACAAGTAAATTGAAAATTGCTGAGTTCACTAAAACACGTTATAAATATATATATATATATATATATATATATATATATATATATATATATATATATATCATAATGAGAAGCCACGTATACTTTCTTAATATGTATATATAGAAGTTTCAAATTAAAAAAATAATGTTTTTATGAAAGCATTTATTTATTTATATATATTTTATATATATATTTGATATTTCAGATTGACCTCAATCTTTCTTCAGAAATAACTGTTTGTTTACAAGTAGCGTCTGTCGCGAGATATGGAACGCCATTGTGTTCGAATATACTTAACGCAAATCTAACTGTAATAACATTTTAGATGCTGTTTAAAAAAATAAAAAGATTTTTTAAACATATCTAAAACAAATGTTTAACTATTGAAATATTTATAAATATTTAAAATACCTATGTCTTTATTTAACCCTAGTTTATATATATATATATATATATATATATATATATATATATTGTATATCTATTGTGTGTGTGTGTGTGTGTGTGTGTGTGTGTGTGTGTGTGTGTGTGTGTGTGTGTGTGTGTGTGTGAATTGGGATCAAATAGACATCAATTATGGTTCGAAATCCGACAGAACAGATTAAGGAAACCGATTAAAGAAACAGATTAAGAATTAAGATTAGCAAGTTTCGTTTTTAGTAAAGTTTTATCAGGTAAAGAAATATTGAGAAAAATTTGTGTTATATTTAAATTTTGTGTTGTTTGTTTTTCATTGGTCAAACAGATTTCAGGTGCGTCTGTCTTGTCAAGCAGCGTTTGTGCGTACAATTCATTTGTGTATGTGTAATATAATATTTGTTTGCTTATGCCTGATTCGGATAATAATATCTATTCGTTTGTTTGAGTGTCTAGCAAACATGCGCGTCTACTAATCATTTTTATTCGTGTTTAGTGCTGAGGGAGAAATACTTTAATTACACTGGTTGTAACAGTTGGTAGATATATTTTAGATTTTTTAAGTTTGTATTTTATAAAAATTGGTGATATAATAAATTGTCTTTGACGTGAGTTTATTGATGCTGAAAGACTTAGAATTCCCTCGAAGTACTTCCTGTATAAAGACTTATATTTTTTCTAATTTGGGTGGCATTTTTTTTGTATTACAAAGCAAATTTCAAGTGTTGGTACTTTTATATAAGTAGATGCGGAATTTTAAATTTCTACAGGTTTCGCCAATGTCGCTCTTCCGACATTGCAGCAATTTTATGCTATTCATCAGACACATGCAGCACAGTTATTTGTTAGATGGAATATGATCATAGACTGCATAAAAAAAGGAGAGTGCGAAACAACGGTAAATAAGAAGCTCGTCCACTGAAGATCTCATATACAAAAAAGAAAAGGTTGAAATGCTAAGTAGACGTCATGAGAGATGACAATCTTTCCACTTAGAAGAGATCATCTTGGGTAAGAGAAGAGGCGACAGGGATAGGAAAAATGGTATGACAACATCACTGAAAGAACTGAAAGGTCATCTTAAATTAACAGGACATTGGCAGATCATTGCCAAATATGGAAGAAGATAGCCAAGGGCTCAGTGACCTTAAAACCACATCCGGTAATGAGACAGACATTGGTAATGATGATGGTAATACGAATGGAGATTATGATGAAATTACAGCGACTATCTTCACTTTTTTTTTTATTTGGCCACTATGCCAAATTGTTCTTTGCATGCAATAAATTATGTTTAATGATATTTCGCTTTAAAAAAAATGAGCATCGGTTTACTGCAAATTTAACAGCGAGAATTTCTTTTCTTTGTCATATAATGAGATGCAAGGCCATAATAATTCCTATTTTTTCCTTAATTTTCGGCGTTAGTCTCTGCTTCAATACAGCAGTTGTCCGGCGGAACTACAGTTTGTTCATCCATGAAAGATTTACAGACATTCAGAGTAAACAAACACTGTTTGGAGCCAAATAACTGACAATAGAACAGAAATACGACTGTCCGAATTGTTTGGACTAGGGGAGGGGGAACAGAGGATGTCTGGAAAAACAGAACACACTACTCCCACATACACACCCAGCATATATATATATATATATATATATATATATATATATATATATATATATACAGGTGTGTGTATATATATATATATATATATATATATATATATATATATATATATATAACATATATGTAAATATATACCTATAAGAATAGTCAAAATGTGTATATAAATCGTGTAAATAGTCTATGTACATATAAGTAAATATATAATAATAATAATAATATGCATATATATATAAATATGTGTGGACATTTGCATTATTATTGCGTGATATATATATATATATATATATATATATATATATATATATATATATATATATATATGCGTGTGTGTGCGTGTGTATGAGTATACAATTTTCCAGTAAATCCCAACCACCCATAATTATACGAAAGCGTTTATATATGTATAAATACACTGATACAAATATATTTCATAAACGTATGCAACATATGAATTTTTAGAGATTATTTGTTGCAATAATTTACACCCTGGCCGAGAGCCACTCGAGGTAGAGGGCCACTGAATAAGAGCTAATGGGCAAAGTTCATGGGTATATATCGGAAAGACAACGATTAACCTAGACGGGAACAGGATAAGATTGGAATGATCAGGAAAGCATCCACAGTCGGTTTCATTTCCATTAATGCTTAGTCGACGCCCATTTCTTGTCCGCATTACACGAACGGAATGAGGGTGGTTCGCTAAAATGGGCGTGGCATGGAGGGTGTTAGCCGGGAAGGTTGGAACTGTTGGAAATAAGTAATGTAGTTCGTCTGAACACTTTCCGTGAATATATTGGCAGAACAAAATGAGGCTTGTAACTTTTCGTCTGCGGGCAAAGTGGTGGTAAGGTGGAAGATATTCTGTCACGCACAATGACGCGGAGGTGATTTTAGATTCTATTTATACAGTTAGTGGATCGCTTTTTTTCTCATGTATATATATATATATATATATATATATATATAAATTCATGAATCATTCATACAAAAAACAAATATAGAGGTTAATGATTTAAATGGCGAGAATACATCTTCGCAAACAATATAAATAAGATACACCATCCCGAACCTGTATATGAATGATATGATCGCTGTTTATAAATTCTAGTTGCATAAGGTCTTTTTAATTTTTTACACAAGCTTTCGTCTGTTCCTACAGACATCATCAGGTATGGAAGTAGATTTTGTTCTTGTTTTTACTTCTCAGTAATAAGAGGACAACGAAAATAGAGATTTAATCCGAAAAAAATGCTATGAGAAATGTGTTATTGTTTTGGAACGTGCGGTCGCAACGCTGAGTTTGAATTTAAATTTTAAGGATGTGCGTTTCTGTACAAATATAGCAATAAGACAATTCTTTTTTACTGGTAGATTTTCCGTCAATATGGCATGAACTATATTGTTCAATAATTACAGTAATGTCACACTTATTATCCGAAAGTTGCACGTTGGATCAGTTATTTTAATTTCAATTAAAAGGTGCAATTATAACTTATAAATTTATGAATCATTCATACAAAAACATATATATATATATATATATATATATATATATATATATATATATATATATGAGCAGTGCTCCATTTTCGGCCAGGTCTGACGCTTGGAAATGGAGAGTTTAGCAAGCCGAGGAGTCAGGTACGCGAGAAAAAAAATGGACACTGAAACCTAACAACAGAAAAAGACAGCATAAATTCCAAAGGTACGTAATGAGGAGAGAGAGCTTTGAAAATATAACACTCATAAGACAGATTGAAGACACGAAGGAAATCAGCCCATAAACTACCTAACGAACTTGGCAGAGCAGGGATATATCAAAAAGACAAAATATACAAAGAGCTACAAAAGACAGGAAATTGTGGAGAAGAACGAAGATCGCCTACATCCTGAAGAGACACGTTACAGAGAAGAATAATGATGCCATATATACAAATTTCATATATATGTATATAGTTTTGTACATTGTCTTGAAGTATTTATGTTTTTAGTATTTTACTGTAAGGAATTGAATTTGACGTAGATAGAATTTTATATACAAGGGTCTTTACACTTATATGAATAAGGTGGACACAAAACGATAAACGTTTTATAATTCAGATCACAAAACATGACTTAAAGGTAGCGTTCAAACAGGAAACCAACTCCCACCACCACCACGTGTTAACATCAGCGTCCACTTTGATATTTACATAGGCACTATCCCGGATATTAAGCAAATTTTACCCATAAATATAGCATACCTGAAGGTTAAAATTTTATCATAAATATATATATATATATATATATATATATATATATATATATATATATATATATATATATATAAAGAGAGAGAGAGAAAATAAAGGAAGAAAATATTCAGTTGTTGGTTGGTAAATGACAAACGCTAAAAGTGGAAAAACAAGCGGCAGAGTAAAATGTTTGAAATGTTAAACGTGACAAATTATCGGACTGCTTAGATAAACGGGAATAGGTCATGATAGATAGATAGATAGATAGATAGATAGATAGATATGAAAAGAGTTAGACAAATAGAGAGAGGGCAAGAGAGATGGCTGGATATGGAAAGCAATAGATAGATAGATAGATAGATAGATAGATAGATAGATAGATAGATATGGAAAGCGATCGATCGATCAATAGATAGATAGAATTACACACACTGATAGGCATTCACGAAAATATTTCTATAGATAGATAGATAGATATGAAAAGTATATATATATAGAGATATGAAAAGAGATAGATAGATAGATAGATAGATAGATAGATAGATAGATAGATACAGAGAACGCGTGAGAGATGGATGGATATGAAAAGCAATAGATAGATAGATAGATAGATAGATAGATAGATAGATAGATAGATAGATAGATATGGAAAGCGATCGATCGATCAATAGATAGATATGAAATGCGATAGATAGATATGAAAAGCGATAGGTACAAATATAGATATGCATGAAAAGATAGATAGATAGATAGATAGATAGATAGATAGATAGATAGATATGAAAAGCTTAAGATTTATATCAATAAACTGAGGCAGATAGGAACAGAGAGACAAGTTCCATCTTTGATATATATTATTATTATAATTATTATTATTACACACACTGACAGGCACTCACGAAAATATTTCTATAGATAGATAGATAGATTGATAGATATGAAAAGGATATATGTATATAGATAGATATGAAAAGCGGTAGATAGATAGATAGATAGATAGATAGATAGATAGATAGATAGGAGCTGAAATATACATTGCTAGAGGAATCACTAATTATTATAGAAAAAGTAAAACGCTGTTGATGACATTCTAAATAACGTCCTACGTAATCGAATAAATATACTTGATAATTAGATTAAATGTAATAACGCCATTTGTAAGCAATAACTCTCTTGATATTGTTCTATACATTCGCAAGGCCAAAAAAAAAAAAAAAAAAAGGCATTTGAAAGGTGATTTTTCTAACATGGTCGAAATCGTCCGTATTTCAAATGAGGAAATTTTTTGGCGTTTCGCTCAGTTATTGCTCGCACTCTTTTAACTGTTTCTAAGCATGTACTACGCAGCCCAGGGATAATGCCACCAAATTCACGAGCCATTGCTTTCAACTACATCCTTGTACAGTGGTGGATTCGTGGATTTGATTTCACAGTAATCGGATTCTCATCAGAGGGGCAGATAAATCGTAAGTTGAAAGAAGGCGAGCAATAACAGATTATTACTAAAAAGACCAACATAAGAGATGAACAACGGACTGAGAACACTATATATTGTAGATTAAAGAGAGAGCTGAGATCGAAATTCCCTGAAAGTTTCCTGAATCGAATGAGATCTGAACAAAGATGAAGACAGAAATGATGTGATCAGAACAATAAGGATGATGACTTTATTCCGATTAAATCATACTTATTATAAAACCCAGGTTGTGTGTGTCTGTGTGTGTCTGTTCGTTTATATATTGGATCGGATTTCCTACATTTTTCAACCGATTTCAACAAAACTTCACAGGACTACGTAAAATTACATTGCGGTGGTTCTGACAGCGCCAAAAATTGGAAAACACGAAATCAACTTGAAAACACGATTAAGAGTCATCGCGGGAATGAAAGGGGGACAACTCATATCGAGTTATACTTTTTATAAAACCCAGGTTGTTTGTGTGTGTGTGTGTGTGTGTGTTCGTTTATATATGGGATCGGATTTCCTACATTTTTCAACCGATTTCAACAAAACTTTACTTTTTTTTTGCAGGTAGTGTTTCCTATTGTCTTGCGCACTTTTTTCTTTATTTTTACATTCAGAATGCTTTAAAAATTCCATTTACAAGACAATTGCTTATAATAAAATTCTATTCCATCGGTAGACTCATAACGATTGAAACAATGTTTTTGCTTGAGTTTGGGTTTGACCAATTCGTAAAAAAAAAAAAAATAGAATAAAAATAACTCAGACATGCGTGTCCGTCAACCTTAAACAATAATCTTTGTCAATTTTATTTTTCAGTCTTTATGATGGTCGATACTTGATCTATCTCTTACTGTTACATCCCCGGGCAACGCCGGGCTCTCCTGCTGGTATAATATAAGGGTCAAACTCATTGCTCAGTATATATACCTATCTTTCTACGTACATGTGTCTCTATCTATCTCTATTTATCTAATTTCCCTCAGGTTTTCAAATGACTTACCTAACTTTTCTTTGCTTCTTTTTTCTACCTCACTCTCTCTAACTCTCTTCCATGACGATTTCCCTATTACAAGCAACCAAATTTAAATTTTAAATATAGTTTTAGAAAAAATTAAATTTTAAATACAAGTTTTAGAAAAACTTTATCTACTCAACCCAATGATTGAATTCAGTTAGATAATGCCACCAAATCCACAAGCCATTGCTTTCAACTACATCCTTGTACCTTGGTGGATTTGATGTCATAATAATCGGGTGCTCATCAGAGCGGTATATATATATATATATATATATATATATATATATATATATATATATACACACACACACACACACACACACACATATATATATATATATTATAAATTAATTGATTTAAAATATGGTTTTCGCTACACAGTTTTAACCATGTTTCAAAAATGGAAGCTAAAAGCTTCGAATTTAATTTTGGAATTAAATTAAAGACATTAGTTCCATTTCATCCTCAAGCGAATTTTGGTCTAACCTATTTTTAAAATTACTAGGTTTTAAAGCCACAACAAAAAAAAAAATCATAATTCACGTTTCCAAGAATACAGAGAAACCCATTTATCTAGACAAGGGGTGTTTGCGAGTTCATTATCGCTGTATTTTGTTATATCAGTTATTAGTTACGTTTTGGTAGGGGTAGGGATGTATTTTTCAATGAATTCTGACATCCGTTAAATGCATGTCGTCTGGATTTAAAAAAAAAATATTGTTAACGGCAAAACTTCTTACGGCATTTTTTTCTATTTGTTTACTTAAAGATTTTGGGTGGGTGTTTAGGTTAGAATACGTTTTATTTAACTAAGATTTTTTTTTAAAAATTCACTTTTAATTTTTAATATACTATATGTCTTTTTAAAACAAGTAAATGTATTAGAATCACTTACAGTAAGTAAAATTATTTTCACATCAAGTATAAGTATGTATATTACCAGGTCACAATTTTTTGTTTTAAATTTATATTTAAATATTATTTAAGTAAAATATTTGACGAAAAAACATTTTTGTAGCGAAAAAAATATACTTTAAATCAATTAATTTATAATATTAATGCTCTGTAAATTTACATTGAGCACTATTTTGTAAAAATAAAAATATCTATAAGAACACCGGATTATATATCTTACTGTTCTTTTTCTTTTCTCTTTATATATATATATATATATATATATATATATATAGAGAGAGAGAGAGAGAGAGAGATATGTATATATATATTATTCGAACTCTCTCGTCGAATTCGATATATATATATATATATATATATATATATATATATATATATATATAAATCGTGAGTTGAAAGAAGTCGAGCAATAATAGATTATTACTAAAAATACCAACATAAGATATGAACACCAGACCGAGAACAATATATCTTGAAAATTAAAGAGACCGCTGAGTTCGAAATTCATATGTAACAGATAATATTCAAATAAGTGTAAGAAAACATTCTGCATGCTAAAGTGTTTAAAGTCTAGTGAGACGCTGCAGGATGTTTTGAATTTTTTTTCATTAATGCTTACCTCGTGTGCATTTTGTAAGTATATAAATTTTTATGTATTCAAAGAGATAAGTTAGATTCATGAATAATGTATCTGTAGAAAAATGAAGTAATGTAGTTTTTTCGGCGAGTGTTAATAGTTGGTAATATTGCTATGAACATATTTTCGTGATTATCCTTATATATTGCATATATTCTATTTAAAGACTTGTTTTTTTATAAGGCTGGCAATATCTGTTACTTCATTACATTGACATGTATCCGATGTAATGGAATAACCGAGCACCCCCACCATGAGTAACGGCACTATAGATGGTAATCACCTATAAGTATACGTTATGACAGCGGACAGCAGAGACGAGTTGGGATCTGCGAGACTAGCGGCCTTCCGACAGTAGCACGCGCACAACTGTACTGACTTGCGACGACCTTGAGAATAAGTATTACTTCCTTGCTTGTTGTAATGGTTTTTGCAATAAACCTGTTACTATATATCCACCGTGTTTGTCCATTGTATATTCCTATTAGCACAGAATGTAACAGGATCAAACCAATAAGAAATAGCCAAACACAATATGCCATTAATCTGCGTCTCTTTGCTTTTTATCATTTTTTATCATTTCTATCTTGATCTCAGACGAAGCTTTAATAAAGTGAACCATGTTAGATTAAGATCTGTTTCCTACTTGTTCTTTATTCTATCATTTTGTCGGATTGCTACCAATAATCGATATATAGTAGCCGGTAATGCATATATCTTGTATATCATATAATCCCTTTCTTGCTAGTGCGTGATGATGGCCTAGTAGTGAGATTTTCCGACTGATCCCAAATCGATCAGGCTTCGATATAGGCTTGAAGCAATCGCATGTCTAGCCACTTCGATGAGCGAAAACAAACTGTCTTTGGATGACTATACACACACACACACACACACACACACACATATATATATATATATATATATATATATATATATATATATATATATATATATATATACAGGGTATACATAAAGTTCGTAATATATATATATATATATATATATATATATATATATATATATACAGTGTTTCATGAAGTTCAAAAGCACTTTAAAAATTATAACTTTATTTGTATTTGCGATAGAAATAATTTGTACAAAGGATTAGAAAGAAGTAAATCTATATTTTTTAAGGTTTTATTGAAATTGTATTGAAGTTTTCACATGTCCTCCATCATTAGCAATACAAAGGGTAATACGATTTTGCAGTTCAAGGAAAACATTTGAACATAAAGATGGCAGCAAGGCCTTTACAGCAGGAACTGCAGTATTAAAGACAAACCTTTGTAAATGCAGCCAAGCACGACAAACAGAAGCAATAGCTGTAAGAATTTTAGGGATTTTTTTTTCTGTACATCTTGATTCTTCGAGGAACATAGGTCCGCAATAACATTTCTCCAACAGACGCGGTTCCGGGCGATCCTCTTCAGCTCAGACCATGCCGCCCGCCTTCATCTTTGCGTTAACACTTCTGTTGATTTAGCAATTGATGTCTTCACCTGCACCCCCAATCTTTACTGACGATGCTTCCCAGGTAGATAAAAGCGAAAGATGCCTTCCAACCAAAAAAAAAACAAAAAATAGAATAGAGCGTAAGACAAGAGTGTGTTTTCTCGCCGGATTTATTCAAACTTTAAAACCTGAAAGAATTAGAAGTCCTACCAGGAATTATTAATTACGATCACTATCTTACCAGTATAAGATATGCAGATGACGTAATGTCGAGAAGCAGAAATTAAACTACAAGAACTCCTACAGATGATAGTGGAAGAAAGTAGGAAGAAAGGACTAACCATCAATTTCCAGGCAGTATGTATTGTTATCAGCAAAAGGAACAGCTCAAATTATGAGATTCCAAACTCAAACAAGTTAGTTATGCCTTTTGGGGAATATAGGGCCGCAGCAACATCTCTCCAACGGACGCGGTTACGGGCAATCCTCTTCAGCTTGGCCCATATTGCGCCAGCGGCCTTACCAGTGCGTTAACACTTCAGCGCCAAGTCTGTTTTGTTCGACCCACTTTTCGCTTCCCTTGTGGATTCCAGTCAGGGCCTGCCTGGTAATACTAGAAGCAGGCTTGCAGAGTGTATGGCCGATCCATTCCAATTTCCGTTTCTTGATGTCAATCTTAATTGGGGTTTGTCTGGTTCTGTCCCACAGTTGGTCGTTGGAGACAACTTCCGGCCACATGATATTGAGGATGTTCCTGAACTATTGGGTTTGTGGGTGTTGGTCTTGGTCACCCGCCAGCTTTCTGAGCCATAAATTAGGACCGACTTGACGTTGGTGCTAAAGATCCGGATCTTGTTGTAAAGTGAGAGGGCTGTTGATCTCCAGATTGAGCACAGAGTGTTGAAAGTGTGTCGGGCTTTGTTGATTCAGCACTTTTAGGCTTAATGTTCCAATTTTCCACTTTAAAAGCTAATGGATTAAATAGGGGGTTCGTGAATTTTGTGTACACTCCCTTTGCTTCGTAATGATTACGGAGTGAGCAATTCCTGGGTAGTGCTCAATAAGAATTATATGATATATCCCTAGACATGAGTAGAGAATGAGAAAAAGATATAAAACCCTTGTACAAATTAATTGAAAAAATCGCTTTACTTTCCTTTCTTTCACCATACGCTCAGTTTTAGACCCACTGGAGTAACAGGCTGTAATCAATTTTTATTTTTTCCCCACATTAGGTCATTTGTAGAGGTGTGCAGTAATATGAAGCTATTTTCGGGGTGTATGTTGAAAGTTGTTTGGCCTTGAAAAATATTGAATTATCTATGATTAAAGCAGATTTTCATCACGCCCACATACTATTGTCTCGACTGTCGATTAGTTGCCCTACGGCCAATGTCTGTGATGGACAGTACTCCTAGGTAGAATACAAAAAAGTGTAATGCAGCACGAACACACTTGTAAGCCTAACCAGTGAGCAAATCAAAGTACTATAGACTGGCTCGGAAACTCTCCTGATTTAAATCCGGACGAGAATCTGTGGTCAATCTGCAAAGAAGGACTTCATGGAAGGGACATGCGAAGTACTAACATATGAACTGGGTCATGTTTCATTTTAGAAATACGAAAAGATGTAAATACTAACAGAATTATTCGTTTTATTTCAATTAATTTTCACAAGGGTGTATATAGATTAAGTAAAGTTTTCACTTCAAATTTTCCCCGCAGTTCGCTGAATCGACGATTACACGATGAAGGCCGGGATACGCAACAAATAATTACAACAAAGATAAGGAGAGTAGTCCGCATGTAAATAATGTAAGTACTGATAACTAATCATAAGAGAAATTGAAACAGTTGATGTTATTACTATTACTTTTATGTATGTTGT